ATGATAAGGCGCATTATCCAACACAATTACTGCGTATTCCTCTAAGTTCGGTAAAATTTTTGAAAACCACTGTTCAAACGATTCGCCATTCATTTCCTCGTGGTAATCTTCAGTTTTCTTAGACTCAAAGCACCACAGACCGTCAACAACAAATCCATCCTCACTGCCAATATGGCAGATAATGAGCCTTTTCCCTTTACCTGGAAATCGAAGTACTAACTGGTGTAGATTTATTTCAATAAGCGAACCTTTTTCAAATGTTTTCATCACATTCAACGAAAAAACATTGAGACATGAGTATCAGATTGCTATAATTGGGATTATTCAGTCATACTGAAAGAAAGAATATTGAACGTCGCATGATTACTCAGCGCTTCACAATTTAATTTACAGTTATAAACCTTTAAAAAATGAATGATCAGGAACCTGAAATACGCGCAAATATTAATATTAACAAATTATAACTTTATAAAGCTTAAAGTATGAATTAAAATGATTAGAAATATTAGGAATGGTACACAATATAAAACTTAGTAACTTTTTAAAGTTTATAATATTCGACATATTTTAAGATTATATTAAAAAATTATTGAAATATCGAAAACACATAAAAACATGGCTTAAAAAAGTTCTAACAAATGAAAATGACAATAAAACATCCACGCATTTTATCGAAAGTTATAAAAGTTTTGTTACTTGTAATATGTTTTATCTGCCCCCTGGAATTAATGTTTAGAACCTTGTTCCCAAGGTTTGAAAAACATCCGATTGTTGTCTATTACTCGTATTTACCTGCTGGATTTTTTAATCCGGTGGACAGTCCATCTAGAAAGGCCCTCCTGGATGAAGTTACAGAATCATCAACCCATACTTTACTTGTAGTGTGTCCTGCGTTTACCCACGTTTCATCAAGGTAATAAATCTTCCTGTTTTGATTTCTATATTTCCCAATTTTTGTTAAATAATCCCTCCTCCATAGCACAATTTCTTCTCTATCCAGTAGTAAACTATTACGACCCCGTTTTCTCCATTTGAAATTTAAATGCTTCAGTAACGCATGGAAAGTTGATCGTTTGAAATTTAGCAACGTTGTATCTCCATTTACCTCCTGCAGTACTTTATCTATAGTAGGTATTTCATTCCTAAAGAAGAATTCATGCACTTTCCTCCTAATCGCATGCTTATCAGCTTCATCCAATGATTTAACAATACTTTTGCGATGTTTACTGGTCATTGGCTCAGAAAAGGTGTGATTTTTTTTGTATTGTCTTAACACATTAAACACTGATGCGCGACACACCCCAACTTTGTGAGAAACCTTCACAACAATTTCTTTGATGGTTGATGCCTCGTTCTCCTCGCGCTCGATCTTATATATATTCAAAATGACCTCTTTCATTTCTGCACTCAGGTGTCTTTTTTTAGAGCGTTTCCTAGGTGGACTACAGGAGTTTACAACTTCATCGGCAGTATCTGTACTACTGGGCATTTTGCGCAAGCAGTTGATAACAATAACAATCAATAACAAGGTATAACAATAACAACGACAAACTCAACAACTTAATAAGATAACAAACGAGAACGTCCAAAGAAATATCAAATTGCAATGATGCACACGACATACGTAACACGTCTGAACCTGAATGTGACTCTGCCTTGATACGACTGCTCTGACGCTCGGCATAGGCGTTTAATTGCGAATTGACCAATGAGGGCTCCTGTTTTACGTCGAGACGGCGGCGTTAGCGTGAAAATCACCCGAACCTTTTGTTTACATCCGGTCTATCTCTTATCTGAATATACTGTACATATATTACATTATTGAATACTTTAATATTAATATTTTTTTTATCTTCCGATATTGTTGTAACAACATACACTGAGTGAGCAGTTCTAATTGTAAGCAATAAACTATTAATTTAACTTTTTTAATAAAAGGAGTATACATAATTTAACATTTACTTACTTTTAATTAAAACTGAAATCAAAATTAAATTGAAATTATACCAGAAATGATATTGGAGGTGATAACTTGAGTTATGTAAAAATATAAAACATTTCTATTTTAGTCTGTCATAGAGCTGTAATATTCATACTTTAAAGCCTTTTTCAGGAAGGTCAAGCTGATGTTAAATAAATCTATATTACAGAAATTATTATGATTTTTTTGAGCCCTGACCAAAGGGGAATTAAGACCAAGATTGGTTCTACGGAACGGTATTCTAAACAGATGATAGGTTCTAAACGTTCTATCAGGAGTGTTAAAGTTCAAGTTTGCCAAAAGATCCGGACAGTCAGTGAGGCCATTCAACAATTTATGGACACAGCAAATGTCAGAAATCGTTCTTCTATCTTTTAAGGAAATCATATTGAACTGTTTCGTAATTTGCGTATAATGATGATATGTAACAGGTCGGTGAGTTTTATGTGCTAACATCTTCAAAAATTTGTGTTGAATTCTTTCTATCCTGGCTATATGTACATTGTAAGACGGATTCCATGTTACTGATGCAAACATCAATTTGTTGTGTATATAAGCGTAGTACAATGAAAGAAGCGTTTTTGGGTTCGTAAATTCTCTGCATGTCCTGTTTATGAACCCTAGTGTTCTATTTGCATCATTTACGATGTGCTCTACGTGAGTGATGAATGAGAGTTTCTTATTAATGTATACCCCTAGGTCTTTTACTACATGAAGCTTTTCCAGTTCTGCCGTCCCTATCTTATATCTGAAATCTATAGTGTTCGCTATGTTTCTAGTAAGCCTCATGTAATGACATTTTGTTAAATTCAGGAAGATGCTGTTTTCAGTGCAATACTTTTGCAGAGATTCCAAATCGCTTTGAAGTTTTACACCGTCATTTACATTTCTAACAATAGTAAATATCTTTAGATCATCAGCATATAACAAATATTTACTGAAATGAAAAACAGAAGTAAGGTTGTTCATGTAGATGTTAAATAACAATGGTCCTAAGGGACTACCTTGTGGTATGCCGGAAGTTACTAAGAATGTCTCCGAACGATACCCATTGATAGTCACCACTTGTTTACGATTACTTATATACGATGCTAGCCACTGCCATAATGGACCATCTACACCCACCTCAGCAAGTCTCTCCATCAAGATAGAATGATCAATCTTGTCGAAAGCCTTACTGAAGTCGGTATAAATAACATCCACCTGCAGTTTCTCATCTATTGCGTGAGAGGCATATTCTATAAAACTCATCAAATTCATCTCTACAGATCTTTTAGGGAAAAATCCATGCTGGTGTTCCGTAAAGATATTTTTTGTGATGTTTAAGATAGCATCATAAATCAGCTTTTCAAAATTTTTTGAGAAAATACAAAGTTTAGGGATAGGTCGATAATTTTCTACAAGATGTCTATCGCCTCCTTTATGAATAGGCAATGTTTCACCTTCTTTCCATCTGGTTGGAAAGACTCTTTGAGTTAATGATAGTTTGAAAATTAGGTGAAGTGGTAAACATAAGCTAGCGGAACAGTTTTTTATAAATACAGGAGGTATGCCGTTAGGGCCTACTGATTTTTTTATTTCTAAGGACACTATTTGTTGATATATTTTTCCAATGGATATTAAAGTAACATCAAAAGGACTAGCATCCTTGTTTAAATAAAAATGTTTAGATTTAACATATACACTTGCAAAGAAATCAGCAAAGGCATTACACACCCCGCTTCCGGTTTTAACTTCATAGTTTGAATGATTTATAGAACTAGGTATAGAGACATGACATTGTTTCTTACTTGAAACGTATTTCCTAAAGTGTCGGCTGTCGTTCAATATATTGTTTTCCATCATTGTTATACAGGGTGACTTTGAAGTTGAGTCATTAATTTTCAGATAATGATTGTAGAAGGAAGATAAGCCAAAATATGTGTGTAAAAATAAAAAAAAATTAAAAAAAATTTTTACCTTGTTTTATAATGTATCCTCCCGACAAGTATTTCAGTGCGGACCTGTATTTGATCGTCAGGTCTTGGAGCACCGGCATGCCGTCCATATGTGAGGTCTTAAGTCAAATGATTCACGAACCCGTTGTACTACATTAACAAAGGCACGAGGGGTTGGTTGCACTCGATTGGGAAACCGATCCGCATAAACATGTGCCATTTTTTATTTCATTTGAGCCACGCAACAGACACCACTATCCACTACCGACTGACACTGACTGTATACAACTGAATGAAATAATTGTAAAAACATCGTTCCAAATTCTTTCGCTTTTTTGTTTCCGATGCGATGAACCGATAAGGCGAATTATATCCGTTGTCGCCAAACACGAGCACATAATATTATTATTGAGACAGGGCGGTACTCAAACTTCCAAAGGGCTATAACTTTGTTACTTTAATTTTACCAGAAAAATAAAGGAAAAAAACATTTCTTTTGATCAGATCTACTCACTGTTAAAATAAATGACTCAACTTCGAAGTCACCCTGTATATTCATCCAGGTTTTCCTTAATTAAGATTTTTGATTTGACTCTAAGGTCACAGAATATCTGATATGAGTATGGATTATTAAAACGTTTGTATAGCCTATGATACGTATTTTTTCTCTTAACTGTTTGTATTGTTTCAAATTTAAAGTACATTGGGTATTTTCCTCGAATTTTATATGTTGGTGTAAATTATACAAAGGTTAGTAATAATTGTTGGAGAATCTAAGAATTACAAAAAATTGGGGCTCCTATTTAAAAATCTAAAGTAGCGTAACGAAATATCGTATTTATTGATCACCCTATATTGCACGATTATAGATGAAATGACGTCCCCCTAGAAATCAAAATTGACTTGTCTGAACGTTTTCCACAAAATGTACCAGGCAACTCACAAATAGGGGTGCGAGCTTTTCTTTGGGCCGCCCTGTATGCTAAAGACAATACCTTGGTATCAGTGTCTTATTTGATTTTGAGGCTTGATGTCCTCCACCACCAGCCATAATTATCGTTCTTGTTCAATTTCTTCAAGAGCTCGGAAAATAATTGTGCTGCATTCATCCTCTTCGGATTCGGAACTTGAAAGCGACACCGATATAGAGACGCACACCACATACAGGATAATATTAGGCGATGGAGAGACCGCTCTGGAGAAAATCGAAAGAAAGCTGAAGGAAAAAGGAGATCAGATATCGGACCACATACAAAGGGTAAACAGTATAATATCGTAGCGAAGGTTAAAAATATATGACAAAAACCTGGCATACATCGGAGAAGTTTACCTGCAAGATTTTTTATTCCACAGTAACGTTTGTTGATTGCCCCTTAGCATGAGTAAGACTTCACCCTGCAGTAATCCGGTGCAAACTTGTTTGAACAATATTCTGAAAACTTACAAAAAATGTTTTTTTTTTTATTAAAATACCGCATCAACCAGGCAGGGTTATTATTATTAGCGGTGGATCGATAGTGTGATATAGTAGAATTTCAAAGAAAGTGGTGATATTTGATTACATTGAGGGAGCGGAAAGTGAAAGTTAATAAAGTTGCATATTTTTCAATTCAAAAATAATTTTTAGCTTTAACAGTGACGTGCGTACAGGTATTGACTTCGACATTTTTCAAGAAAAAAATAGTACGCTAATAGTTTTTAGCCGAATAAAAATTGTTTTTAGATTCCTCGTTGAATTTAAAACAAACGATCTCTCTTGAATTTTTTTCCTTCGATGCGCCATTTTTGAGTGAAAAAATAAAAACAGCTCTATTGTCCGAGAAAATTAATGTAATAATTGAAGAATGCATTTTAGCAATAAATATCTAGTTGCTCTGGAATATGTCACTGGCTTTTGACATCTGACAAGTCTGTTATTCAAATCTGTTCGCCGTGACATCTTTTTCATTATTTAGTTTTTACAATCCTGTTAATAATGGTGAATTATTCAAATGCAGAAATGGCACAATTGCATTACGTATATGGCCTTGCCGACGGTAATGGTGAGCAAGCCAGACGGATTTATCACCAGAGATATCCCGATCGTGCTTTCCCAGATAGTCGAACCTTTTCTAATATTCATCGTCGTCTTGTTGAAACTGGTTCTGTCCGGAAAGGAACATCTGAAGGTAGACCTCTAAGTGTGAGAACACCTGAAATTGAGGAAGCAGTGCTGCACGAAGTCGAAGAACATGCTAAAACGAGTACGAGGAAGATCACTAGACACTCACTTCTCACTTATATCAGCCCTAAGTATAACATTATAGTCATAGCTGGAGATTTTAATACCGACGTCTGTAACAATTCATTACAATTGCAAGACCTCAGTATTTAATAAAGACTATTGGATTAAAAACAACAATTATAGATTATACGAGAGTGACCAACACAAGTACAACTTGCATAGATAATATTTTGACAAATTTAGACGAGTCTGAATATACAGTTTCTGTAACAGATCCCTGTCTCTCAGGCCCAAAGTATGCTTGTACATTTAAATTCTATTAAAAAAAGAAAATATTGTTCATACTAGGAAAATCACAAACGCTAGCCTAAATCATTTAAATCTCTCGTTATCCAACATAGATTGGACAAAATATTATGTCAATCATGATGTGATTACAGTATATTCAGATAAGAGATAGACCCGGACATAAACAAGACCACGTGATCATCGAACGCTGTAACATTCGGCAGGGACGTATTAAGAATCACGCAGTACATATTTTAGATAGTAGATGCTGCTTTGCGTAACTTTGTAGTAAATTAGCACAATTCGATGTGTATACGATTGGTGATGGATATAGGATCATGTGGGGGTGGGGTAAGAAATATATAATGATGTAAATATACATAAGTGTTTCAAAATTTTCGCTTCGATTTCCAGCTTCGGATGCCGCCTGATGTTTGGTGAAATACAGTCGAATATAATCTCAAAATGGCGTTTAAATTAGCCTAAATTAAAAATAATCGTATATCTCTTAAAATTGCTTTTAGAATATTGATTAGTATATTTTTTGATTTCTAGGTAAATATGTAACCAAATTAAAACGTTCAAAACGTAAAAAAATGTGCATGATTGAACATTGTCAGAAAGTAGATTCTTGAATAGGTTTTGCCAAAATGGGTTCAAAAATGTCAATAATTAATTAAAAAATACAGTAGCTTTATAATTACTTATAACTTACCGAATTTGATGAACGACATCTTTTATTGGAAAGATGAGCTTGATGAGCTTTCATCATCGCTACTGCCTGAAGCACCAACGTCAATAATGAATGGCTCGACTTGTTCCTCTAAAATATTGTCCAGTTCCACATTCTCTTTTTAACTTTGTCTTTCACGTGCTTAATACAGTTTTCCCATTTTTGCGCTGTCATTAATTCTAGTGCTTCTTTGAAAAGTCCTTTGAGGTCACAAAATTTAAAAGTTGTATTGTGCTTAGCTATATAATTTTTAACCTCTGCCCATATGAGCTCAATGGGATTGAGCTCGCAATGGTATGGAGGTAAACGGAGCACAGTTTTATATTTTGACTTGCTGCCATTTCGTCAATGGCGTATTTTTGATATTCCGCCTTGTGATCCTTGACAATTCTTAATAATTGTACTTTCAGCATTGCTTCTTCAAAGTTGATATTTTTCGAGCGGAGCCAATTTTGAACATCAACTTTCCTTGAAGCCGTTGTTGGGACCTACTCCATTCTTCGAGAATGATAAGGCTCATTATCCAACACAATTACTGCGTTTTCCTCTAAGTTCGGTAAAATTTTTGAAAACCACTGTTCAAACGATTCGCCATTCATTTCCTCGTGGTAATCTCCAGTTTTCTTAGACTCAAAGCACCACAGACCGTCAACAACAAATCCATCCTCACTGCCAATATGGCAGATAATGAGCCTTTTCCCTTTACCTGGAAATCGAAGTACTAACTGGTGTAGATTTATTTCAATAAGCGAACCTTTTTCAAATGTTTTCATCACATTCAGCGAAAAAACATTGAGACATGAGTATCAGATTGCTATAATTGGGATTATTTAGTCATATTGAAAGAAAGAATATTGAACGTCGTATGATTACTCAGCGCTTCACAATTTAATTTAAAGTTATAAACCTTTAAAAAATGAATGATCAGGAACCTGAAATACGCGCAAATATTAATATTAACAAATTATAAATTTATAAAGCTTAAAGTATGAATTAAAATGATTAGAAATATTAGGAACGGTACACAATATAAAACTTAGTAACTTTTTTTAAGTTTATAATATTCGACATATTTTAAGATTATATTAAAAAATTATTGAAATATCGAAAACACATAAAAACATGGCTTAAAAAGTTCTAACAAATGAAATTGACAATAAAACATCCACGCATTTTATCGAAAGTTATAAAAGTTTTGTTACTTGTAATATGTTTTATTTGCCCCCTGGAATTAATGTTTAGAACCTTGTTCCCAAGGTTTGAAAAACGTCCGATTGTTGTCTATTACTCGTATTTACCTGCTGGATTTTTTAATCCGGTGGACAGTCCATCTAGAAAGGCCCTCCTGGATGAAGTTACAGAATCATCAACCCATACTTTACTTGTAGTGTGTCCTGCGTTTACCCACGTTTCATCAAGGTAATAAATCTTCCTGTTTTGATTTCTATATTTCCCAATTTCCCATTTACCTCCTGCAGTACTTTATCTATAGTAGGTATTTCATTCCTAAAGAAGAATTCATGCACTTTCCTCCTAATCGTATGCTTATCAGCTTCATCCAATGATTTAACAATACTTTTGCGATGTTTACTGGTCATTGGCTCAGAAAAGGTGTGATTTTTTTTGTATTGTCTTAACACATTAAACACTGATGCGCGACACACCCCAACTTTGTGAGAAACCTTCACAACAATTTCTTTGATGGTTGATGCCTCGTTCTCCTCGCGCTCGATCTTATATATATATATATTCAAAATGACCTCTTTCATTTCTGCACTCAGGTGTATTTTTTTAGAGCGTTTCCTAGGTGGACTACAGGAGTTTACAACTTCATCGGCAGTATCTGTACTACTGGGCATTTTGCGCAAGCAGTTGATAACAATAACAATCAATAACAAGGTATAACAATAACAACGACAAACTCAACAACTTAATAAGATAACAAACGAAAACGTCCAAAGAAATATCAAATTGCAATGATGCACACGACATACGTAACACGTCTGAACCTGAATGTGACTCTGCCTTGATACGACTACTCTGCCGCTCGGCATAGGCATTTAATTGCGAATTGACCAATGAGGGCTCCTGTTTTACGTCGAGACGGCGGCGTTAGCGTGAAAATCACCCGAACCTTTTGTTTACATCCGGTCTATCTTTTATCTGAATATACTGTAGTCTCTCTTCTTTTCTCGTAGAATCAATAAATGAACTCAAAGATTTATATTTTCCATTACAAAAGCAAAAGCAACATTTTGGTTTAATAGTTAACTTAAGACTGCTTGGTACTCTCTTCAGGTTCTAAAAACAATATCGGAGCATCAAAAAGACGAACAGTCAAAAAATGCCTTTAAAACCTTTCAGAGACAATACAGACAAAAAATTAGACATGCTAAATATAGTGCATATAATAATTTCATTCATTCATCGGAAAATAAAAGTAGGGACTGTTGGAGGCTAGTAAATTTTGAAAGAAATAAATCCAAACCAATGACATTAACTGATATCACATCAGACATGTTTAACGACTTTTTTGTATCCGCAGCCAAAAATATAATAAAAAGCTTACCTAATCTTAATATTAATGAGCTAAATACCATAAATTTCAATAAGTGTAATAAAACCTTTTTTCTGGAGCATGTTACATATCTAGATGTTTTGAATGCTATTGGTGAAATAAAAAATAAGCAATCTCTTGATATTTATGACCTAAACAGCAATGTAATAAAACACTGTGCAAATACTCTTGCCACACCACTTGCTCATTTATATAACTCCTGTCTTTCTCAGGGAATATTCCCTGATGTTTTTAAGATTAGTAAGGTAGTACCAGTTTTTAAAAAAGGTGACCTATCTGATGTAAACAATTTTAGACCCATTTCCATAATTCCTATCTTTGGCAAAATTTTAGAAATAATTTTAAAGCGCCGCCTTTTAAAATTTTTAAAAGTAAATAACATCATTGATCCAAAACAATTTGGTTTTCAGCCAGGTCTGTCAACCATAAATGCAC